CAGCCAGGGCAGCTTCCAGCGCAGCCTGCACGCCCCAGGTACCTGCTGCGGGGGTAGAGACAGAGACCGTCTGGACCCTGCTCGCCACCCACACTCAAACCATCTTCATCCCCTTTGCAGATCTCATCTTGACTGTGGACACGACACAGCGGTACCAGCATGTGAAGGGCTTCGGTGGCTCTGTCACCGATGCAGCTGCCATTAACATCCTTTCCCTGCCAGCAGCAGCCCAGGACCACCTGCTCCACTCGTACTTCTCTGAGGAAGGTGAGAACATCAGGGTGAGATGGGTGGGATGGTGACAGAGACCCTGCCTTGGAGCTGGCAGGGCTTGCCCACCTCTGCCTGTCCCACCCTGCTGTGCCTGGCAGGGCTGGAGTACAACCTTGTCCGGATCCCCATGGCCAGCTGTGACTTCTCCCTTGACGCCTACACCTACGATGATGTTCCCTTTGACTATGAACTCACCCACTTCAGCCTGCGAGATGAGGACACAAAGCTGAAGGTGAGTGGTGGGAGGGAGGAGAGTGGCATTTGGGGGTATGCTCAGGGGCTCAGCTCAGATGGTCCTTCTGCCCCCTCCTGCAGATCCCCATCCTGCACCGAGCCTTGGCCATGAGCAAGCAGCAACTGTCACTGTATGCGAGCCCCTGGACATCTCCAACATGGATGAAGACCAGCGAGTCCTTTGTGGGGAAGGGGACACTGAAGGGGCAGGCGGGGGACAAGTATCACAAGACCTGGGCCAACTACTTTGTACGGTAAGGAGGGTCTGGGGCAAGGATACAGGTGTCCAGCAGGTACAGACACCCAGGGGATCCCCACCGCTCACCCCTCTCCCCTGCTCCCAGGTTCCTGGATGAATATGCCAAGCACAACCTGACCTTCTGGGCAGTGACAGCAGAGAACGAGCCCACAGCTGGGCTGATCAACAACTACCCCTTCCAGTGTCTGGGCTTCACAGCTGAGCAGCAGCGGGACTTCATCGCGCAGGACCTGGGCCCCGCCTTGGCCAACAGCTCCCACCACAATGTCCAGCTCATCATCCTGGATGACAACCGGCTCCACCTCCCACACTGGGCCAAAGTGGTGAGCATGGTGTGGGGTCCACCAGCACAGTGAGACAGGGCTGGGCCCCTGTCGCCACAGAGGGCTCAGCTGCTCCGGCCCACAGCATGAGGGATGGGGCACTTGCTCTGCCCCATGGGGCATAGTGGTGGCCAACTGCTCTCCTTGCCAGGTTCTGGAGGATGTGAAAGCAGCTCGTTATATCCATGGCATTGGCATCCACTGGTACCTGGACTTCATCGGTCCCATACAGGACACAGTGGTGCCCACTCATGAGCTCTTCCCTGACTACTTCATCCTGGCCACAGAGGCGTGTATCGGTGCCCACTTTTGGGAGCGGGATGTTATCCTGGGCTGCTGGGAGCGGGGGAACCAGTACAGCCACAGCATCCTGATGGTGAGGCTGCCCTGCACAGCAGGCCCTGGAGAGGGCTGTAGGTGTGCTCCTTCTCCTGTTGGCACCCCACTCCTTGGGCGGACATCTGGCCTGTCCCATTGCAGAACCTGAACCACTTTGTGGCCGGTTGGACTGACTGGAACCTGGCCCTAGACCTGGAGGGAGGCCCCAACTGGGTCAAGAACTATGTGGACAGCCCCATCATTGTGGATGCCAGTGAAGGCATTTTCTACAAGCAGCCCATGTTCTACCACATGGGGCACTTCAGGTGGGTTGGGGCCTCCCAACATGCTCTCAGATGCCTGGGTGGCAGCTCCATGGTTGCAGCAGCACCTAGTTGGGAGGGGAGATAAGCAGGTTTGTCTGGAGGAGAGAACTGCTGGGGTCCGACTCCCATCTTGCTCATGTCCATGCAGCAAGTTCATCCCTGAGGGCTCCCAGCGTGTTGGTCTTGTTGCCTCCAGAGAGTCCAAGAAGACGGATCTGGAGTACACGGCTTTCCTGCGCCCCGACAGCGCTGTGGTGGTGGTGGTTCTGAACCGGTGAGCAACACAGCCCCCAAGTGGGACACACATCATGGCAGGCTGTGCCTCTGGCTCATCCTGCCTGGCCCTGTGCTCTGCTGGTGCTCGGGAGCTGCTGGAGGTGTGACCCTGCTGCTCTTCACCCTCCAGGTCCCTGCAAAACATCACCTTTGGGTTGGCTGATACTGTTGGCCTGATTGCGGCCATGGCTCCGGCCAACTCCATCCAGACCTACCTGTGGCAGCGGCAGTGATGGGGCTGGGATGCCCATGGCTGGCTAGGGATGACCAAGCCGGACTGGGAGAGGAGCCCCATGCTGCCTACATGCTCGGGCCAGGGAGCAGGGAGGAGGTGGCTCACTGGTGTCTGTGCCATGGCGGAGTGGAAGAATGAGCCATGCTAGGGAGTGCTGGGCATGTGCAGGAGGGCCAGGGGCATCAGTGCCCCTTGGGCTTGAGTTCCCACAGTCCCTGGATGCTGTTTTCTACTGCTCCAACATTAAACTCTGATTCTGCCTCTAGGTCTGTTGCTGGAAGAGAAACATCCAGGTCTCTCCCCTGCTCCCAGGCACTGTGGCTGTGTGCCGCCTGGGCATAGAGCCCATGGGAGTCCTGAGAGCAGCACAGAGCACCCAGCACCCCATGGGGTGGCCGTTCTCCCTGCTCTCCTGGCTTCTCCTGGCTCCCACCAGGGAAATGCTCCCAGCACCAGTCTGCTCCCAGCTTCAAGCGTGTGCTGCCTGGCACAGAGTGAGCTGAGCCTGAATCCTGCCTTTGTGGGCAGGTTTAGGGCCTGGCTGGCAGCCTCAGATTTACCTGGCATGCACAGGCCCTACGTCCTGGAGCAGGAGTGGGGGCAAAGTGCCTTGGTGAAAGCTCTGGGCAGGCATTGCTGCCAAGCTTCAGCTTTTGGTGCTTCCCCTGCTGAGCTGGAGCTGCTTGTGGCCCAGACTGAGGCTGGGGGCTGCATGTGTGATAGCACACCTACCCCAGGGTGTGGGGTGTTCCCGGAGTGGGGGCTGAAGGCAGAACCAGCTCCAGGAACGTTGCAACATGATGGGTTAAGGCTACAAGCAGGCTCTGGGTGGGCTCCAGGCATTGGCCACATTCTGGGGCTGTGCAGGGAGAGGAGTGCCCCAGGGGACAATGTCCCCTGTGGTGAGGTGTGCTGTCCCCTGACGGGACGCACTGTCCCCTGCAGGGTTGCAGCAGCTGGACAGTGGTCCCTGATAGGAGGAGGCTCAGGGGGTACCAGGGGCTCAGCGCTCACAGTGCAGCTGTGGCAGCTTAAGCAAGCAAGCTCAGAGCCAGGAATGGGTGCTGCGTGTGGGCACACCCAGGAAGGAGGGAGGGAGGTGGGAGAGTTCATAGAGCCAAGGATTAGGGCAAGTATGCCGGGATTGTAGGCAGGGTGAGGAAATGAGGCCCAGGCTCCTGGGCTGAGCTGGGTCAGCAGGGTTGAAACAGGCAGGCTGGGGCCCAGGGGTGCTGTCAGGGCTGAGAGCAGATGCTGTGTGGGCTGGGCACAGCCCAGTGCCAGCTCCGGCAGCAGCCAGGGTGGCCCTGTCATGAACACAGTGACAGCTGCACAAACCATGCTGTGGCATCACCCTGGGACCCTGCAATGCTGGCATGTGCTGGAGTCCTGGAGCATCCAAGCTCTTGCCCAGAGGCTGTGTTTGTCCACAAGAGGGAAATATTTCTCCAGGATAACAGCCCCACTACCAGGAGCCTGTCCCCGCAGCAGGACCATTCCTCCACCTGCTGCTTCTTCCCCAGGTTCGTTCTTACTGACTTTCTCTAATGTTTTGCCATCACTGGGAATAAAAGTCAATGTCTGGCTGCTGAGTCATCCTGGGACACGCACCCTCATCCCTGTGCTCTGCTTGGCAGTGAAGGAGCAGCAGTTCTGGGGTGAATGGAGAGGGGCTGAATCCTCCCATGTTGCTGAGCTTGGTTCATTAACTGTTGTGCAACATGTTGGCTCCTTTTGGGATGTACAAGGGCTGGTGGCAACTATAGCTGGGTCTCCCCACGTTCCATGCTGAGGTTCTGCTGCCTGACAGGACCCTGGAGCCTTGAGCTGCTGCTGTGGTGCCCAGCAAGGCTCTGTGAAACCCTTCTCTGCCTCAGTGTTTTCAGAGTCGCATTCCCCATCAAGGCAGCTCAGCCCTGGGTCCATGTTCCTGAGGTCCTCAGCCCCACTGGCCTGGCTAAGGGACAAAATTCACTCCCCAGGCTCCTCCACCAGCTGCCAAACCCTGTGAGAAATGGAGTGCGGGGAGCAGCAGCGAGAAGCAGTTTTGAGAGGATTTGGTGGGGCTGCCCAACACCTCTGCCACCCGCCCTGTGCCAAGGCGTTCTCTTTCCCCTGGGTCTCACTTTTCCTGCTCAGCAGAAAGGAAGCCCTTAGCAGCATTGATAAGTTCCAGCAGCCTCTGCAGTGTTTTTGCTCACAGGAGCTGTGGGGCCTTGAGCTAGCTGCAGGGTGGTGGCTGTACCCCGAAACAGTGAGGGGAAGGGCGGAGAGGGCACCCCAGGTGGCTGGCAGCAGGCCCGGAGGCAGCCAATCCCTGTGGGGCAGCAGGGGCTGACCCATTAACTATTTCCCAAAATTGGGGCTTATTAGCCTGGGTGTAGCACCTGGCTGACACCTTAATCATAACTGGGGGTGGGAGGCTCACAGGGCAGAAGGCAGGGCCAGGAGTTTCCTTCTGGAGCTGCCTGTTTACCCCGTGACTTGTAAGTGGGGTTATGACTTTTCCCCCCGGCAGCCAGCCCATGGCTTGGCCCCATGTGGCAGGGGGGGGGGCAGGGA